TCTATTAAAATCTTCCCCTGGGACCTCCCCTAAAATCTTCACTCTTAAAACCCTTAGGATGGAGGACCCAGTGTGCTCTCCCTCCCGGGAGCAAGCCCTGCTGTCCCCTAGCCCTTCTCCTTTCCCCTCCCCTCCCCTCCCCTGCCCAGGAGCTTACCATTGGTTTCCTCACCTCCAAGCTCCAAGAGCCCTTCCTTTACCTCTATAACTCATTTCCTCAACCCGTTTCTTTCATGAATTACTTCTACCTCTATGATTTCCCAAATAACTGTTCTCTTACAGTTTGGGTCTTGGCTCTGAATTCTTTCCTAGCCAGAACCCAAGTACCGAGATTGCTGAACCCAGGTGTGGTCTGACCGCACCGGTCAGACACCTGACGCCGTTCCCGCCACCTACAACGGTGGCAGACAGGTAAGTCTGGGTTTTGATTCTGGCTTTGCCAGTCATTAGCTCTAAGACCTTGTGTAAGTCACCTGGCTTCTGTGAGCCCTGATTTCCTGACCTACAAACAGGGAATGACACTACTGGTATCTCAAAATTATTGTGCCAACGGAATGAGACCAGGTATGCTAAGCACATGGCACAAACACGATTCTAACCGGTGCTGGACACTGGCGGCTAGAATTCATCATGTGGAGGTTGGCAGGGAGATAGTGAAGGTGGACACTGGATGGACCACAATGGCTTTCTCACATGTGTCGCCATTGGAGATAGCACTCGCAAAGGCATGGAGGGTGACAGGGCATGCTAGGTTTGAGAATGTTATACCCCCAAGCCTAGTGCAAGGGTGGGGGGGGAGGGCTGAGAATAAGGAGATGGAAGAATATGAAACCAGACAACCAAAGCGTCCGGGCTGCCTGTCACTACTTGAGCCAATTAAGCAGAAATAAGATTGAATCATATTTGAGCATTTATTCCAATAATGCCGGCAGTATGGGAGAGCAGCAGGTCACCCACAAAAATCTGGTCTCCACCCTTTTCCCCCCTAAACCAGCTGCTTATATTGGGTAGAACAAAGATTACCTGGGGAAGTATGGAAAAGGAATAAGATTGGGTATAATGGTTACAGATTACAGGCAATGTGGGCTGGAGGCAGGCAGACTCCATTGTCTGGGCAACAAGGTGGTTAATCTTTCCATGATAACAGGCAGTTCTAGGATGAGGATAGACCACATTCCAAGGTTGACTTCCAGGTCCAAGCTTGACTCCCAGGTCCTGGGGGCGCACATCTCCCAGCCAGGTTAGAATGTCCTTTCTTTAACCAACACAAGGCAATCATAGTTAACAGAGCATGATTAATATTTCCCATAACCCTAGCTAGCCCCCAATATTCTGTTTCTGCCCCTAACAAATTCTGCAGAGACAGGGTTGAATCATATATGAGCGTTTATTCCAATACTGCCGGCAGGATGGGAGAGCAGCAGGTCATCCACAAAAATCTGCTCTGCAAACCCAACCCCCCCCCCCCCCATAAGCCAGCTGCTTATATAAGGTAGGACAAAGATTCCATGGGGAAGTAGGGATTTTAGGCATGGAGAGGGAGGCTATGCAGGCTGGGGTGGGACTCCATTGTTTGGGCAATAAGAGTGTTAACCTTTCCATGATATTAGGCAGTTCTTGACTGAGAATGGACCGTATTCCAAGGTTAACTCCCTGGGGGTGTACAACTCCCAGCTAGGTTAAAAGCTAGGTTGCCTTTAACCAGAAAAAGGTTTATCCGATCTCTCTAAGCAGTTGGTCTACAGATTCGGGTAGCAACCTAAATTGTGCTCCAACGGGAACAAAGATTGGCAGGGTTTATAAAGGGCAAAACCATAAGTGCTGTTCGAGTTTTGGTGCCCCATGTAAGTGAAGGATGTTGGCTAGGTCAGTTGTAACCAATTCTATGTAAATGAATGATGCAGGTTATCAGAATGGATTGGTTCCTTTCAAGGTGAAGAATGCTTACAGTCTGGTCACCCTGAGGAGGAGGCAAGGTCCACATACGTCCTTGTAGCAATCATTGACCCAGATGTTTGTCTTGGCCTTGAGCTGAGTGTAGCAACATGTCAGCAACTTAACAAAAATTCCAAGAACTGAGACATGAGACATGCATAGGCCTCACCTCCTTAATGATCCCCCGACTCCATTTTAAGTGACTCTCTTCGAAAGGCTTATTCTATTTTATTTTCCCCATTATCAGGAGGAGAAGAGGAAATCCAATGCTCGTCACTCAAATACCAACTTGAAGTAACTTAGCAACAAGGTAAAGGCCAGAGAGGGATTGCGGCCGACTAGAAGGGGACCTGGGACCATTGGAAGATGAGATCTGTGGCTGGAAAATCAACCATTTGCTGAACACTCAAAGCATTTGGGTGTTAATCCCAGAAGAGACTAGATTGTAAGGAAATGCAATTGGACTCAAGTATTTTATTTTGCAACAGAAAATAGTTTGGGCCCTAGGCAGATCTTCCTAACAGTGACAAAAGAGGTAAAGGAAGCTGTGACATCCCTGTTTCTGGGAAGTTTAAAACTCAACCGGCAGATGTCCCCAGCGTGGCCTGGCCTACAGCAAGAAACAGAGAAATGACCTCCAGCTGCCCCTCTCGTGCCTGGGAATCCGGTCAGGCAGTCATGAGTGTTCTGGACCAGCAGCAGAACACCGATTAATTAGCCAAAGGGAGCCTCTCTCTGCTCTGCACTAAGCTTTTTATGTTCTGCCATCAACCACAGCTTTAATTAAATCCGGGGCTTAATTACCACAGTGCAGTGCTGCCATCACTCTCTCCTGATGACTTTATCTTGGATCCTGGAAGGATGGTGTTGACGACAGTGTATCAGGAGGAGAGATGAGCCTAAAGAAGCCTAAAGCACAGACTCTGAACACTGGTGATTTGAGGGTCCACGGGGTGGGCAGGTGGCAGGATCAGCTGTAGGCCCCAGCACCTGACCTCAAGTTGCTCATAATTTATTGCAAAGTTAAAGCTTTCTACCTAGGTCCTAGGAGATGGCACAAGGCAATCTTCTATAATAATAAAAGCGTAACATGCTAATTAGACCAGACAGCCGAACGACCTTCTGGACGCAGCTGGGGCTGCTACCAGGGCCAAGGCAAGCTGTCACATTGTGGCTGCGAGGGCCGAGCCCCTTGCATGAATTTCGTGCATCGGGCCTCTAGTGTGAAATAAGCCCCCAAATGAGAGGCACACACAAATATCCCAGCAACTGAGAGGGAGCAGAGACCCTTTGGGACTGGAAGGATGAGGGAAGCTTCATGGAAAGTGAGGACATAGAGGGATTTTCAGGGAAGAACAGGATTATACAAGGCAGCAGGCAGGGCAATGTACCTAGTGCAGGGAAGAGCATGAGTATGGAAGTAACGATGAGAACCTGATACATCTTGAGAATGATGAGGAGGGAAGTGTAGCTGGGAACAGAGCAGAGCAGAAGAGAAGAGATTCCTGTCAAAGATGAGCATGAGCAACACTTTTGGAGAAGGTGGGCGACAGGTAGGAAAGGCCTTGAATGCCAGGCTAAGAAGTTGGGACCTCATTCAGTAGGTAGTAGGAATCCATTGAAAATTTTTGAGTTGCTTGAATGATCCAAATGTCTTTTTGTTTTAACTTTATTTCTTTTTACAATATTTTTGGAAGTCCATGTTGTTGTTTTTTAAATATGTTTTTATTGGTTTTTAGAGAGAGAGGGATAGAGAGAAATATTGATGAGAGAGAAACATCAGCAATTGGCTGCCTCCTGCACACCAACTACTGTGGATTGAGCTCACATGAGCCCTGACCGGGAATTGAACCCGTGACTTCTTGGTTCATGAGTTGATGTTCAACTATTGAGGCACACTCGCTGGGCTTAACTATTTTTACAGATGTCCTCTTCCCCCCACCCCCACCAAATTTCTTATGAAAGCTTACAAGACTCTTGAGGATGTGGTCCTGCCTATTCTTCAGGGGTTTCTCCCTCTCCCTCTCCCTCTCCCTCTCCCTCTCCCTCTCTCTCTCCCCCTCTCCCCCTCTATTTTTACAGATGTCCTCTTCCCCCCACCCCCAACAAATTTCTTATGAAAGCTTACAAGACTCTTGAGGATGTGGTCCTGCCTATTCCTCAGGTCTCTCGGTCTCTCTCTCTCTCTCTCTCTCTCTCTCTATTTTATCCCTCGCTTTGTGCTCTAGCGGAGTGTAAAACGTTCTTCACACTCCTTGTATTTATAAATTCTATTCCTTCAGTTTTCAACTTTAACTTCTCTCTAAGATCTCTAAGAAGCCTTGCTGACTTCATTTCCCCTTGGGAAGGTACCACCTTTCAAGGCTCCCACAACCTGCTGAGTTTCCCCCATTCTAGTACATATCACTGCGTTGTAATTATTTATTTGTTGGAATCCTCTGCTGGACTGTGAATTCTTTTGAGGCTACGGATGGCGTATTGCTCACCAGTGTGTCCCTAAGAACCAGCACAGAGCCAGCAGGGTAGGGAGGATGGAGGGGCCGGGGCTCGGGAGGACCCGTGATCTCTCACGTTTCTCTTGTTCCTGGAGAAGGACAATAGAAAGTTACTGCAGTCAACAGGTAAAGGTTGGTAGGAAATGCGCACTTTACCTGAATGATCAGTCTCTTATTCTCACAGGCAACAAAGCTGGGGCGAGGGGAAACGAAACTAGTTCCCACCTCCCTAAAAATAAAGTGAAGCCACGCTATTTCTCGGCACGCCTGGGAATTATTGAAGGAACAATGAGGCTGACGGTTGCTAATAGGACTAAATGCAGAAACCTCCGCTCGAGCCTTGTAACCACGGAGGTGGCTCCTTGACCACCAGGGGGAGGAATTGGATCGCATCGCGGGCCTTGGGCGGTTTCTCCCAACGACAAAGGGCCGCGTAGAACTATGGGAATTGTAGTCCTAGGGTAGAAATGCGCGATCTTGCGCGGTGCACCACGGGAATTATAGTTCGGGAAAGAGAGGCGGGAAATGCTTTTAAGTACCAATGTTGAGTTCTAGAAACTACAACTACCACAGGGCCATGAGCTCCTGGGCAGTTTCTTGGTTCCGTCGAAGTGACCGTCTGGGCTGCTTCTGAGAGGTCAACTTGACTGGGTAAGTTGGAGAGGGGGAAGCTCCGATTCTGAACGGAGGTGTCAGCAGACTTTTTCATATCCCCGCCCGGTATGGTGCTCTTCGTCTCATCCCAGGAACTTCATATTAACGTCTCGTCCTTTCTGGTTCCTATTCCGACGCCTCCAGTAGCCACCCACACCCTTAACTCTCCCACTGTCTTCTCCAGCCGTCACTCCCGGCTGAGGACCCAGCCCCCACAACCCCACCCTGAGCCCACAGCGTCACCTCTCCGAAACCTGGGCTTCACGCGCCACACCTGTGTGCTTCACTGTCCCTCACTTTGCTGTTTCGCATGCTAGTGGGAGAAGGCTCGCCATTGCTTCTCCGTCCGGGGAACGCCCGGCAGGACTGGAAGTCCGCAGACCCGGGTTCCCGTCCAGCCCCGCAGCTCACTCGCGGAGCGACCTCCGGCAAACCAGCCTTCCCTGGGACTCACTTTCTCCATCTACCAAACGGAGATGAATGACAGTTGCGCCCTCCCTCTTAGGATGAGGCTGCGTGGTGCAGCCAATGGGCTAGTATGTGTGAAGGTGCTATGTAAACTGTAAAGCCTCCACAGGCGAGGGGGGTTATTTTTATTAGAATTATCAAGGCTCTGGAACAGTCCTACCTTGGCTCCTTGTTTAGCTCTGCCCCCTTGTTGCTCAAGCCTGTCCCCCGAGTGCGCAGGATGGAGTTTCCTCACTTCCTCCAGAGACCAAAGGTCAGGCTAACGAGCTCTGAGTCTCCAGAGAGCTTTCCCTGAAAGGCAGCTCCGAAGAAGTGCTTATCTTGGACTCGGTCCTGAAATAGTTGGAGATGAGCAGTCCACCCAGCTGGCGGAGGGAGGCTTCTGCTCACTGGGAACAGGGCCCCGGCGGGAGATGGACAGCTGCGGCATCGGCCCTATCCCTTCCCTCTCGGTTCTTCTGGGCCTGTTCTGTAGATTGTGGTCTTGGCAGGGCTGTCTCCGGCGGGAAAAGGCTGGGAGGAAAGAATGCATTTTGCCAAAGACTTTAATCCAGAAAAAAATTAGAGACCTTGGTTTGGTATGATAAAAGAGAGACATAGCATTGTTAATTAATTCCTAACATTTTATGAGCACTTAAAATGTACCAGGCCCTATGCAATATTAATTTGAAAAAATATTTTTATTGACTTCAGAGAGGAAGGGAGAGGGAGAGAGAGATAGAAGCATCAATGATGAGAGAGAATTATTGACTGGCTGCCTCCTGCACGCCTCCTGCTGGGGATTGAGCCCGAAACCCGGGCATGTGCCCTTGACTGGAATGGAACCCGGGACCCTTCAGTCCGCAGACCCATGCCCTATCCACTGAGCCAAACTGGCTAGGGCTCAATATCAATTTTTTAATTTGTTTTACTATGCCCCTATTTTACATAGAAGGAACTTAGGCTCAAAGAGTTCATGTGGTTATAATGATAGAGCTACCATTTATGGTTATAGTGCCTTCTACATATGATTTACATATATTTAATTTACATATATTATTTAACTTAATCCTCATCTACAACTTCATGAGTAATCATTATTTCTATCCTGTGGTCAAATTATCAGAGGCCTAGAATTTAAGGAACTTGCTCAAGATTACACAGCCAATTAAGTGGCAGAGGTGGAATTCAAACTTCACCAAAGCCTTTCTTTCCTCACGATAACATATAGCCTTACTTTTAGATAAAAAGAGATTAAAAAATTGAGAGGGTTTAAAACAAAGCCTCACAGAGGGACATTTTTGGGGGGTCCCTAATAGATGGAGAAAGCATGGAGATAGGTGGTTTGGCCTGAAAAGAACTACAAAACAATCTTTACCTCTGTAGTATATCTGAAGAGATAAGGCATAAGTATGTAAAAAATTAAATAGCATTTATTGGATAAATGAATTATTGAGGCCTGTTATTACAGGGCACTACCTTAAGCCTAGTGACTAGCAGGTATATGTTTCTGGTGGCTATGGGATTAAACCAAGTGAAATCATAGTAATCATTTCATTAATTTGAAAATGAACTGGAACACTCAGGAAATGTTGCAGGTACACGTGTCTGAATAAAAGAAAAATCCTGTGTACCAACTGAACCAGAGGTTCTGAAACCTTGCTAATCAGAAACACTCGGGAAGCTTTTAAAAATTACTTGACCTCTGAGAATGGGGGCCCTAAAAGCTCTGTATTTGAAGAGCGATTCCCAGATGATTGTGATGATAGGTTCAGGAACCTCTGATCTAGATTCTACTTGGGCCACTTGCAGGCACGTCACTGCTAGAAAGCTGCTAGAAGAAGTACTAACGTAAGAACTGTCATGAGGCAGCCTGTGATTGGTTACCAGGGGGGCTGCAGACAGTGCCTAGATTGGAGAGGAGGAAAGGTGGTAAGGACTTGGGGAAGCTTCAGAGAAGACCAGGGATTTCATGGGCCTTGATGAATGGGGCAGGTTTGAAAGGGCAGAGAGTCTCTAGGCACCACCATGAATTGTTTAGATAAAGTGAGCAAAAGAAGATAGAGACACCTAGGCTGGTTTCCTTGGAAAATTCTGTAGCAATTACTAGAAATGACTGGATGCTCTTTGTGGATGTTTCTTAGGCAAAATTTGCAAGTCAGATTGGATTTTTCCATCTCTCCATTCTACTTGGGCATTAGTCAGTGTGAGCCCAGAGAATACAGAATCATTTTTATGTTAATTTCACCGTGCACAGTTAGCTTCTTTATTTTTTATTTTTTTAAACTGTTTTTATTGATTTTTTAGAGAGAGAGGAAGGGAGAGGGATAGAGAGATATAAACATCGATGAGAGAGAAACATCATCGATCACCTGCCTCCTGCATGCCCACTACAGGGAATCGAGCCTGCAACCTGGGTATGTGCCCTGACCAGGATTCGAACCGGTGACCTCTTGTTCCTGGATTAATGCTCAACTGCTGAGCTATACTGGCCCGGCTAGTTTTTATTTCCAAACTTAATTTAGTTGATAACCTTCCCCAGAACTTTCCAGGAACCCCAAAGGATTCTACCCTCCTGGTTAGCTGCTTGTAAGTCCACTCATTCTGATCCAATCCCAAGCACTGTTCTCTGTGGGGTAAGACCAAAATCTCTTCCCATAAGAAGCTGCTATCATTCTGCTTAATCCTGAAACCTGACTCATAGTTGGCTCTTTCTTCTCCCTTGACTCCCCAAATCCACTCAGTTGCCAACGCTTATTTCCACTTTTCAGTCAATCAATAGATATTTCCTGGATACTTTCTAAGAGCCAAGTAATACACTAGGTACTTTAAATGCATTATTTCATGTATCCCCATAGCAACCATATGAAGGTGGGTAGTATTCTCATTGTACAGATGGGGAATCAGGCTTAGAGAGATCGGATAAACTTGCCCAAGGTAAGAAAGCTAGGCAGCAAAAGAGCTAGGGCTCAAACTTGGGTTTTTCAGACTTCATCTCTCTCATATCTACGTCCTCGTTTCCAGAGCTGATTCCAACTCCTTAATCTTGAGGGACTGCTACCCTCCAGATCTGATCACACCACCCATTTCTCACCTGGCATCCTTTCCTCATCCCTCATTTCTCCTGTGCATTCTTACCTCTGTGCCTCTGCTCACACTTTTTTCTACCTGAAAGTCAACTTTTTCCACCATCCTCCTCCACTCCCGAGCTAAAGGAGCTCTCTTTCTGCGAACTCCTGCACTGTCTTATCTGACCCTCTTTTATGGCAGTTAGAACTTTCTGCTGCTTCATTGTCGTGTGGGTGACATGTGTCTTGTGCCCCTGTGTAGGTCTTCCTTTTGTATGCCGTCAACGACAAGGGGAAAGGTCATGTCTGAGACCAGCACACTAAGCAGCACACATTCAGTTTCACTGGCTACATAGTCCACTGATTGCATCAGTCATTTCTGAAATAGGTAGCCATAGTCCATTCCTGCACGCGCCCCATCTGGCCTGGGGATCAAACCTGCAACCCAGGTACAAGCCCTTAGCTCAGCTTCTTAAAAAGAATTGGGTTTACTTTTAAATTTGCTTCAGAGAAAGGAAGTCCATAGTAGAAAGGAAATCATTTATTACCTTCCAAAGTTAGATAGATTGATACTAGGATTATTGGTTGTTTGGGGTTTTCCACTGGACCAGACAGTTGGTAGTCAGGAGATCTATGTGTGATAATAGTTCTGCTTGTGACCTTGAGCTGCTCACTTAACCAAGTAGGACCTTGATTTCTTCATCAGGAAAGCACGTGTAGGTTACTGGGCCGGTGCGGGAGGGCGAAGATGATTGTGGGGAGGATTGATGAAAATTATCTCTAAGGTTGTTGTTTCTTCTCCTTCTCCTCCTTCTCCTTCTCCTCCTTCTCCTTCTCCTTCTCCTCCTTCTCCTTCTCCTTCTCCTCCTCCTTCTCCTTCTCCTCCTTCTCCTTCTCCTCCTTCTCCTTCTCCTCCTTCTCCTTCTCCTCCTTCTCCTTCTCCTCCTTCTCCTTCTCCTCCTTCTCCTTCTCCTCCTTCTCCTTCTCCTCCTTCTCCTTCTCCTCCTTCTCCTTCTCCTCCTTCTCCTTCTCCTCCTTCTCCTTCTCCTCCTTCTCCTTCTCCTCCTTCTCCTTCTCCTCCTTCTCCTTCTCCTCCTTCTCCTTCTCCTCCTTCTCCTTCTCCTCCTTCTCCTTCTCCTCCTTCTCCTTCTCCTCCTTCTCCTTCTCCTCCTTCTCCTTCTCCTCCTTCTCCTTCTCCTCCTTCTCCTTCTCCTCCTTCTCCTTCTCCTCCTTCTCCTTCTCCTCCTTCTCCTTCTCCTCCTTCTCCTTCTCCTCCTTCTCCTTCTCCTCCTTCTCCTTCTCCTCCTTCTCCTTCTCCTCCTTCTCCTTCTCCTCCTTCTCCTTCTCCTCCTTCTCCTTCTCCTCCTTCTCCTTCTCCTCCTTCTCCTTCTCCTCCTTCTCCTTTTTGAGAGACATATACAGAACATCCTGTCCAACAGCAACAGAATATATGTTCTTCTCAAGTGCACAAGGAATATTCTCCAGGATAGATCATATGTTAGGACACAAAACAAGTCTTAATAGATATAAGAAGATTAAAATTATGTCAAGCATCTTTATCAACTGCAATTATATGAAACTACAAATCAATTTAACAAATATGCGGAGATTAAACAATATGATACTAACCAACCAGTGGATCAAAGAAAAAAATCAAAAGAGAAATTAAATAATACCTTGAGACAAATGAAAATGCATTACAACATACCAAAACTTATGAAATGCAGCAAAAGCAATGTTAAGAGGGAAGTACATAGAGATAAATAGCTACCGCAAGAAATAAGAAAAATGTCCCAAATAAACAGTCCAGCTTTATGCTTCAAGGGACTAGAAAAAAAAGAACAAAAAAAGTCAAAGATAGTAGAAGAAAGGATAAACAATGATAAAAATATAAATAAATGAAAGAGACTAAAAGAGATAAAAAAATCAATGAAGCTAATAACTTAATTTTGGAAAAGAGAAACAAATTTGACAAACCTTTAACGAGACCCACAAGGGATAAAAAAGAAAGAGAACTCAAAATACAAAAGATCCTAAGAAACTAGTATGACCATTTGTATGCCAACAAATTGGACAACCTAGGAAAAATGGGTAAAATCCTAAAAATATACAACTTACCAAGACATTGCTGTAAAAGAAAGGAACTCCTGGAGTTCTTTTTTTTTTTAACTTTTAAAAAAATATAATTTTTATTGATTTCAGAAAGGAAGGGAAAGGGAGAGAGAGATAGAAATATCAGTGATGAGAATCATTAATCGGCTGCCTCCTGCATACCACCTACTGGGGATCGAGAGCCCACAACCCAGGCATGTGCCCTTGACCGGAATTGAACCCGAGACCCTTCAATCCTCAGGCTGACGCTCTATCCACTGAGCAAAACTGGATAGGGCTCCATTGACTTTTAGAGAGAGTGGATGAGAAGGAGGGAGTTGGGGGGGGAGAGAGAGAGCGAGAGAGAGAAACAGAAACATTGATGTAAGAGAGACATTGATTGGTTGCCCCCCTGCACGCACCCAATATGGCCTGGGGATCAAACCTGCAACCCAGGTACATGCCCTTGACTTGGAATTGAACCCATGATCCTTTGGTGCATGGGCCAGCGCTCTAACCACTAAGCATACCTGCTAGGGCTAAGGTCTCTTATTGCTTTGACTTGAACTTTCTGATCCATCTCAGAGCATCTTTAAAAAAGCAGAGTAATGTAATGATTAAAAATGTGGGCTTAGGACCCAGCTGGTGTTGCTCAGTGGATGAGCATCGACCTATGAACCAGAAGGTCACGGTTAGATTCCTGGTCAGGGCACTTGCCTGGGTTACAGTGTGGAGCGTGCAGGAGGCAGCCGATCAATGATTCTCTCTCATCATTGATGTTTCTATTTCTCTTTCCCTCCCTCTCTGAAATTAATAAAAATATATAATAAACAAACAAGTAAAATAAAAAGATGTGGGCTTAGGACTGGACTCAATGTATCAGTTTAAATGTGTGTGTTTTTAATTGATTTCAGAGAGAGGAAGGGAGAGAGAGAGAGAATCATCGATCTCCTGCCTCCTGCACGCCCCCACACTGGGGATAGAGCCCAAAACCTAGGCATGTGCCCTGACTAGGAATCCAACCATGACCTTCTGGTTCATGGGTTGATGCTCGACCACTGTACCACACTGGCTGGGTGTCAGTGTATCAGTTTAGATGCTTTTGGTTCAAGCAATAGAAATCTAAACTCAGTTGGTTTAAACAAAAAAGGGGATTTATTGATTTATGTAACTGGAAAGTCTAGGATTGGGTCAGGCTTCAGGTGTAGTCGAATCCGGAGATTCTTAATGCTTGCACAAATGTGACCATTTCTCTGATTCTCTTAGCTCTGCCATCCTCTACAAGTAGCTTCATCCTCAAGGTAGCAAAGTGGCTGCAACACACAGTTCAAGGCTTCATATCTGCACATCACTCTAGTTCAAAACAAGGACTTTCCCACCTTTCACCATCAAACCAAAGTCCTGGGCTTCACTCTGATTGGATCAATTTATGTGACCCGGGGATACCAGGGCTGATTGGCTCAGGTCAATGAAGGCCCAACTCTAGAGGTTAGGGATAGGTCAGCCACAACCAGATCACGAAGCTGCTGTGTAAGAGGGCGAGGTAGAATGGATATTGAGAGTGTGACGATCCTCTCCACAGTGACAGCCATATTACCCATGATCAGATTCTGGTTTTGCTAACTGTATGTTCTTAGATAGATTACCAACTTATCATGCATCATTTTCTTCATCTGTAAGATGAGATAACAGTATCTCAGAGGATTGTTGAAAGGATTCAATTAAATAATTCATGTAAAGCATTTAGTGTAGCTCCTGGCACAGAGTCAGTGTAATGATGACGGTGCTGGTGGCGATGAGATTGAAGAGGGGACAGGGAACAATGGCATTGGCCCCAATGCAGAAGCAGCCAAGTTACAGGAATGTCTTCTAGGCAGAAGCGTGTGCAGCTGCCACATTGAAGGCTTCCGGTTGAACTACTGCCCCCATCGTACTCTTTCCTATTTCTGCCCCATTTTGCTCTTTTTTTATGTCCTGTCTAGAAATGCTTTTCTTTTTCTTCCCTGCCTCTAGTCTTCCTTATGTTTCAAGGCCCAGCATAAGTGCCACCCTTATAGCCAATAGTTTAGGTCAGTGATTCTGTAAATATACAGTTGGCCCTTGAACAATGCAGGGGTGGGGGTGAGGGGTGGGGTAGGGCTACCAACCTCTCATGTAGTCAAAATTCATGCACAGCTTTTGACTCCCTCAAACTCAATTACTGTTGTGCCTCAGTATCTGCAGGGGATTGGTTCCAGGACCCTAGCCCCTTCCCCATGGACACCAACATCTGCAGATGCTCAAGTCTCTTATATAAAATGTGTAAAACAATGCACACAGCCAGCCCTCCCATCTGCAGATTCCCAAGCACAGACAGAAAATGTTGTGTTTGATCTGCGGTTGGTTGAATCTGAGGATGCAAAACCCAGAGAAATGGAGGGTCGACTGTATATTTATTGGGGAAAAAAAAAATCTAGGTATAAGCAGACCTGTGTGGTTCAAACCCATGTTGTTCGAGGATCAGTAAGGGTTAAGAGCTCAGGTCTGGATTAGACAGACCTATGTTTTGCCACCTGTAAGCAGTGTGACTTGGGCACGTTGTTCAACTTCTCTGCCTTATTTTCCTCATCCCTAAAACAGGGTCTTGGTAATTAAGTACCTTCTTCAGACGTTTGTTGAGAATGAAATGATGTCGTATATGTAAAGATCTTAGTTCATTGCTGACACAGTAAATAATATGTCTAAGTAGTTATTATTCTTTGCCTCATGAGGACAAGGTTTGTGTTAAATTCTCTGCAGCAATTGCGTCTCCTTACCACCCCCTCCCCCCCATCAACAACAACAACAAAATCTTGGCAAAGGCAGTGTAGCAAAGAGATGATGTGAAAGATGGAAAGAGCCACACTGGCAGGGAGATGGGGTGATAAGGAGGGGTGGTCAGGGGTGGCAGATGACACACATAAGCAACAGGAAGCTAAGAGGGAACCAGCGAGAGCTTGTTCTGTGTTCCACTCTCCAGCATCAAGGTCAGCCCTGCCCAAGCCGTTCGATTCTACTGGAGACGAGATGGGGGTCAACCAGTCCGTGGGCTTTCCGCCTGTCACAGGACCCCACCTGGTGGGCTGCGGGGATGTGATGGAGGGCCAGGGTCCCCAGGTGAGTGTCTGCAGCTCCATCCCGGGCACCCACACTGCTTCTGCCTGAGTGTGACTTACCCATAGCCAGGCTGATGGGGAGGAAACTGAGTTAGAGTTGGTCTGGATCCGGTTATAGAGCCCCCAGGTCTGTCCTCCCGGCATTTTTCTTACTCCTTTCAATGAGGCACCTCTCAGAGATGGTGGGTTCTTTTCCCAGCTAGGAAGCAAGGGGGCTCTGGCTTCAACGGCAGCTTTCAGATCCTTCTCCCCGTCTTGAGAGCAGATGCCTAATCCTGGGAAGGTTTCTGCTCTCCTACTAATCGGAGTGCCTGACAGGAGAGCAGTGGACCATTTGCCATTGGCCTGTGACTCCCAACCTGGATGGGAAGACAGTCTCCTTTTCCTCCTCTCCTGCCTTCGTTTATTTTCCCCTGCTGCTTTGGTTCCAGACTTTTCCTCCAAGAGCTCCTAGGTCCGTCTCTGCTGGCCTAGGACTCCCCTCTCTTGTGAGAGGCACACACTTCCTGGTGACCTCTCACTGCTGTGTAAGAGGAGTGTGCTTCCCGAGGGCCCGCCTGGAGGTGACCCAGCAATGCCACCCCGTTCAGCATGGGGCTAATTTCTCACCCCGGGGTTCCTCCAGGCCTGGGCTCAGGGCCAGATTTAAATCTTTCCATGTCCCAAGCACTGAAAACATTTTGGTGCCCCCAGATGTAATTCAAAATACAGTTGGCTATTTGAAATAACATAAGCCTTATATGTATTCTAAAAATAAAAGTGCTTTCTGGATTTTCTGAATGCAGAATTCAGGTATGTGAATTGAAGCTCAAGTTTTCCCATTTTGGTGCTTTGCTCTTGCCCCAGACACCTGCTGAGTGTGTTTGTTGGGAAATCTAGCAGTGCTTGGGCCTCTAGCTGTGAGCAGCTGCTCTCTTCTTCCCTGCAGGGGAGCTTCTTCCGACTCTTCTACCCCTGCCAGGAGTCAGAGGAGACCATGGAGCAGCCCCTGTGGATTCCCCGCTACGAGTACTGCGCTGGCCTGGCCGATTACCTGCAGTTTAATAAGCGCTGGGGGGGGTTGCTCTTCAACATGGCTGTGGGTAAGAGTTGGCCTCACCCCTCGATGCTTTCCCAGCTTCTTGGTTATGTTCCTAGGAAATCGCCAGGAAGACACAGTACCTTACAGCTTGCTTTGTCCAGCGCTTTTGTAGTGGGACATCCATTAGCCAGCATGGTGTGGAGAGCTGGAGGAGGATTATATAATAAGAGCTTTTATTATAGAGTTAGGTTGTCCTGGATTCGAGTCCAGATGTTATCATTTACTAGCTGTAGGGCTTGCGCAAGTTATGTAACCTGCCTGAATACCTGCCTTTGCAGGTTCTAGTCTGAGGTGTATGTAAAGCCTCTAGTGCAGGGCCTGGGACAGAATGTGTTCCATAAATGGTGGCTATTACTCACTTACTTGGCATGTAATTCCCACCCTGCCAGCTGTGTAGATCAGAGAAACATGCCTAACTGCCAGAGAGCGTACTGGCTCCCGCAGTTCCCCCTCCAGCTCTCTCCTCTTCTCGGGAGGGTCACACTGAATCATCCACTTCCCCCAGTGACCCCACCATGAGGAACTCTACCCACTGCCTTGGCATCTCAGGGATTTACCCCCCTTTCTTCCCATTTGGATTTATCTTCCCATTTCCTATTGTGTTCATGCTGTCCAGGGAACATAGAAAAGGTGATTGGTTACCCGGGGCTACTCAGGGGCACATGACAGTCCTCCAGAAAGGAGGGACATGTGCTCCCACACATGCCTATGCCCAGGCTGCCCTTGGGATGACAGCTTTGGGGCAGCCAGAGATTCTATAGCCCGTGTCTCTGCTAGGATCTTGTCGCCTGCCTGTTAGCTGGAATGGCCCCTTTAAGACAAAGGACTCTGGATACCCTTTGATCATCTTCTCCCATGGCCTGGGAGCCTTCAGGTAAGAGCTCTTTTCCCTTAGACCTTGTCATATTCCTTGCCTGGTGACAGCTGTTGAGACTTATTCTCAAAGGGCAGAGAAACAGACATTTCCATCTGCCTGCTGTCTTACCTGCCATCTGCCTCATTCCCCGGCCTGGGGTCCACCTTCTCTCGAAGGCCTTTCCCAGGCTCCTTTCACCTGGTGGAGCCTTTCAGCGGGCTTCACACCCTTTGCTTCTCATGTTCCAGCATTTATATAAGTTAATACTTCTGGTTTTCTTCCAACATAACAGCACAGAACTATTAGAAGGAGTTTGAGCTTTATAGTCAGTCATTTATTCCACATATGTTGAAGGATGACTGCACTGAATGAGAGAGGCTCACTTCCTGCCCTCGGGGAGCTCTCAGCCTCCCCTTCAAGTCGCAGCCAGACCAGCTGTGCCCTGTGTGAGCTTGGGCAGCTGGAGAACTCCGAGCCTAGGTTTCTTCACCTGTCAAATGGGGACAGACGCTGCTCCCACAGGGCGGTCTGTGCCGATTCAGTTGGACTGACCGGTAGGAGCACACACACAGTTCTCTTCGTTTCTAGCGGGAGGAGCATGGGCTGGTGAACTGTAGGGTCCCTGTTACCAGACTTCAGAGACTCTTTAGTGTTTGTAAGCTCCATGAAGACAGAGACCATGCCTGTCTTCTCTCTCTCCCAGGGCCTAGGGCAGTACCTGGACAGTAGTTGTTTCCCAGTAAATATTTATTGAATGAATACAATGGCTATGTTTTTCTAGGTTCTCATTCATTCAGAAAATATCTGTTGAGCACCTGCTCTGTGCTAGCCTCTTGGCCTGAGAGGAAGGTGAGACATACAGAATAAAAAGGAATTCGCATTCACTAGAGGAGCCTGAATATGGACTCACATGACTGTAGCCTATGGCAGGAAGTGGAGAGTTGATGTGAAATGAGGGTAGAAAGACAAGTAGATGGTTTTCCATATTGTTTTCTTAGTCAATAAATTGAGTATCTGCTGTGTGCCAGGACCTATGCTGGGATTGGGTACTCAGTAGTGAATAAGATAGAGCTCCTGCCCTCAGAAAGATAGTCTAGTGGGGAAAGAAGCTAAGAAACATTCTCTCCCACGTTCACAGGTATTTCATATAGTCAGCAGGCAAGCACATGACTTTGAAGAGTGATCTTGGTCTCAATCTGCATTGAGTCTTCACACCTCAGTAGGCCTGTGAGCCCATCCTATCTAATAAAAGAGAAACATGGTAATTAGCCTACGACCGCTACCCTTCCCATTGGCTAATCAGGGCGATATGCAAATTAACTGCCAGCCAAGATGGCGGCCAGCAGCCAGGCAGCTGG